TTGAACAGCCAAAGTGGAAGGATTGCTTGAGCCCAGGAGTTTCAGACCAGCTTGGGCAACATAGCAAGATTTCGTCTCTACAAAATTAAAAAATTAGCCGTACCTGGTGGTGTGTGCCTGTAGTTCCAGCTACTCGGGAAGATGAGGCAGAAGAATCGCCTAAGCCCAGGAAATTGAGTGTGAGGTGAGTTGTGATCATGCCACTACACTCCAGATGGGATGGCAGAGTGAGAGTGAGCCTCTGATTCAAAAAAAAAAAAAAAAGAAGAAGAGGAGGAGGAGGAGGAGGAGGAAGAAGAAAGAAAATGCAAAGCCAGTTATGAAAAATAAAAAATAAAACTTTAAACATTAGTATGATAAAAGACATTATGAAAGGAGTTGAAGTCAAAGGACTGGGAAATGCTGTGTACAACTTAAAAAGTAAAGGGCTAATATCCAAAATATTTAAATATCACAAATTGTTATATAAAAAGACAAGTGAATAGCAAATGGGCAATGCTGTGGACAGGAAATATTAATGACTTGGGCAGAAGACTCAGTGAACCAAAGATTCTGAATATGTCTGAAGCAAACAGAGATAATACATGGCACCTCAGACAAATGTGACAAGAATCACATCATAGACAACTAAGGCCATGCCCCTGCTGCATTTAAAAAGCTGGCACTGCTGGGAAGAAGCTGCAGCAGTGGCAGATTTTTCTTCATAAACTCTTATCAAAATAAAACAAATAGGAGAGCATAACCAAAATCTCAGGGTTAGTATCTACAACCAGGTGACAACCCCAAGTATGAAGGGGTGGGAACAACCACCATCAGCTATAAGACTTGTGTGGTATCAGGAGTGAGGAGAGAGAAAACTGGTTTCCTGAGAACAGACAAATGTAAAGTCCCTAAATGTACTGGAAAACACAGCAGGCCAATCTAAGAATGGCAACTGAAGCAAGGAGGGGATGCTGCAGGATCCAGTTTGCAAGTGAATGTCAGTAAACTATTATAATGCCTGGCACCTATAAACTATCTATGCCAAAAGACCAAAACTTCCTTAATGAGCCAAGCTTATACTGAAGAGATGCCACTGTGATAAAGAAACCAAATTGAGTATTATAGGGGTAGTATCGTCCTGTGATGGTCAGTTATATGTGCCAACTTGGAGGGTGTTTTTGGATGAGTTTAACATTTAAATCAGTGTGCACTGAGTAAAGTACATAGTCCTCCAGAATGGAGATGGGCCTCATCCAATTAGTCGAAGGCCTGAGGAGAACAAAAAGAGTGGCCTCTGTGAGCAAGTGGGAATTCTCCAGTAGACTGCTCTCCTGGGTCTCCAGCCTGCCAGCATTCAGACTAGAACCAGAATATTGGCTTTCCTGGGTCTCTGCCTGCTGGCATTTGGGCTGAAACTACAATCTTCTGATTTTGGACTTCCTAGCCTCTATAATCACATGAGCCAATTACTGAAAATATATATGTACTTGCATGGATTCGTCTGTTGCACTTCTACCAATGTCTCCATTCTTAGACTTACAAGATGACTGATGTATCCCTGTGATATCCCACACAAGCGTCCCACAGACTGGAAGATATATTTTAAGGCAAAGGATGTATGACAATGGACTGTATCAAAGAATTCACTGGTCTTACCATATTTTTATTATATTAAGGCAGCTGGCTTTATAGAACAGTGGATGAGTGGTAGACTCAGTTACGGCATCAGCTGGAAGACAATCTTGAGGTCAGGGTGCAATTTCATCTCCAAGAATGCATGAATCCAGGAATAGGGTAGTATAGGTTAGAGTGGCCTTTGTAACTGTCTAACCAAATAACCTGGGAGGAGTTTTTGCTTCTCATTACTATGACTTGAGATTTGCTGGATTTGAGGGTCCTGGTGCTCAAGGTAGGAAAGCTCTTTGACGGAACAAAGTTATGGACTGTAGAAACGGAAGCTGAGATTTTACCTTGGCCAGTTGGCCTCCTCATCCTGCTGAACTAACTAACAGACACCAAAGAGAGCTACTATATTGGCCGGAGAAATCATCCCAATTACTGAGGTAAAATTAGGACAAGGTTTGGAAACCAGAGGATTCACTTTGTACCTGTTAATTTTTCTCTATCTCGAAGTCACTTGTTTTTGCTGTCCTTGGCAGCAAAACTGGAAAAAATTGTCATTTCTTGTTTCAGATCCCTTTCATTCCCTTATCATGTCTCTAAAACAGTTTTTTTTTTAAGATCACTGCCACTTTGCCAGATCCAAAGGTCAGTTCTCAGTCCTCCTCTTACTTGATCTCTCCAGCATCTAGCATAACTGATCTCTGCCTCCTGGTATTATAGTTCACCATACCACGCTCTTCATTTTCTTCTTTCATTGATATTCAACCTCAGTGTCATTTGTTGGTTTTGTCACCCCCGCCCCCCATTTTCTCAGTTTTAAAAACTTCAGGCATTGGACTGGTAATTTATAACAAAAAGAAGGTTTTTTTTACAGTTTGGGAGACTGGGAATTCCAAGGTTGAAGGTCTTCCATCTGGTGATGGTCTTCTTACTGTGTCATCGCATGGAAGAGCAAGAGGGGATCAAACTCTCTTTATCAGGAGACTATACTCTCGATAACCAGTCCACTCCCGTGATAACAACATTAATTCATTTGTGAGGGCGGAGCTTTCATGACCTAATCATCTCATATCAGGTCCCATGACCCAACACTGTTGCACTGGGGATTAAGTTTCCAACACATATGCCTTGGGGGACACATTCAAAGCATAGAAGAGATCTTGTCCTTTCTGTACTCATTCTTTGAAATCCCATAGTACTTATTAACACCATTGTTAAATCTTTAATTACCACCTATATGCCAGACACCCCAAAATGTATATATCCAGTCTAGACCTCACTCCTGAGTTTTAGACTTGTAGAGTTTAGCTATCAACATCATACTTGAATGTCTAATGGCCTAATACATTTCTGAGCTTTACCTCACAAACTGGTTTCCGCTGTTTTCCCCTCATTAACGAATGGTAATTCTATCCTTACAGTCTCTCTGACCAAAAAGTTGATATCTTTCTTGATTCCAGCCTTTCTCTCACTCTATTACTTCTGGTCCATTAGTACATCCTGGTGGATTTCTTCAAAAATTTCAGAATCTGACCACTTCTCATCTCTTTCAATACTGTCAGGCTTATCATATCTGTCATTATCAGTTGCCTGGACACCGACAAGAAGTTTCCTAATCAGTGTCTTTGTTTTCAACCTTGCCTGTATTTCATATTTACTATGTTCTACCCAGCCTAGACTGTTTATTTTTCCTTCCAAGCAGGAACTTCAGCTTCAGGCTGTTCTCGAATCCGTGGGCTCAAGTAATCCTTTCACTTTGACCTCCCAAGGTGCTGGGATTATAGGCTTGAGCCACTGCAGCCGGCCCTGTGAATATTTCTTAAAAGCAGTGATTTCTCAACATCAGCATGAGTTCTTCAGGGGAAATTCCTATCAGACTACCCCATATCTTCTAAAACATGATTACACTAAATACAGTCCATCTGAATGCCATCAAAATATGCTTATCAAATGTATGATAACATGTCATTGAAAGGGATGTACAATACCTTGCAAACTATAATCAAGATCCCTAAAGGTCTCAGTGGACTGGGGAGATAAACAAAATACTATAGGGTAGTTTCCTTGGCTATAAAATACCAGTTACTCAACTATACACTGGGAGAAATATGAGGCTTTACAATCGTCTATACAGAAATATTTTGGGAGGTTTAGTTCAATCTTGTGTGATGTATGATGTACATGTCAGAAAGGCATACACAATTTTATTCTGCATCTACCAAAAGCTCTGTTTACTAAGTGCATTTCACAGTGTATCTGAAATACGAAATTGAATTCTGGGCATATTCCATCATGATAACACACTCAAGAGGGACCAGGAAGATGTATATTAGGAACATTTGAACAAGCTAGGAATGCTGTTCTTAGATGTGTCTCAAGCAGCATATGACTTTGGTTATCCTTGTGGAAAAGGGACTTATTAACTCATGTTCCAGTCAACCTTAGCACTTCTAATCTCCTTCCCTTGCTTAATTTTTCTCTTTTTAACACATCACTATTAACATACTGTATGTTTTACTTATTCTAATTTGTTTCCTGTCTGCCTATCCTTACTAGGATAAAAGGTACATGAGGACATAATTTTTTTTCTCTTACTTTATTTACTACTACCTTATCCTTTATACCTGGCTCCACTGTTGGTGCTTTGCAAGTTGGTGCTTTTTATTGAATGATGAGTAGCCATCAGGGATGGAACTAGAATCAATAGGTGAAAGCCTCAGACATAAAATTTTGTACTGGGGAAGGGAAAACCTTGTTAAGAATATTAAACCTAGCCGGGCTCGGTGGCTCAGCCTGTAATCCCACGCCTTTGGGAGGCTGAGGTGAGTGGATTGCCTGAGCCCGCGGGTTCGAGACCCGCCTGGGCAGCGAGACCTCATCTCTACAATAAATCAAAAAATCAGCCGGGCATGGTAGCGCATGCCTGTAATTCCGGCTACTCGGAAGGCTGAGGCGGAAGGATCGCCGGAGCCCAGCAGGTCGAGGCTGCGGGGGCCAGGAGCGGCCACTGCACTCCAGTCTGGGCGACAGAGTGAGACTCCAACTCAAAAAAAAAAAAATATTAAACCTTTCTGCTCTCACAGGGAAAGTAGTATGTGCTTCAACCCCGAAAGTGTTGAAACACATTCTTTCTGAGTTAACACTTGGTAGAAATATTATAGAAGTGATGCCAATAGGGATTTGATACTAGATAAACTGTTTTCTTGATGGGATTCTATAATTTTGTATAAGAAATAGACTGATTTTCCCTTTTACATTGAGGACCAGTAAATGCCCAAATTAAACTTACAACTGTATATACTGTTTAAGCTATAAAATTATTTGGTCCTGAACTTAAGAAAATACATGTAACAACTCTTATTCTTGGGTCTTATGTCCCTACTTTTTTCTAAAAGCAGTGATTCTGAAGCACAGGCCTCTCAAAACTTGGGAACAATTATTATAGAAACATCTCAGAAAATAAGTCCTACAGAAGATGGAAGAGAGCAGAAAGAAAGTGATCCAGCAGAAGATAGCCAAAGACAAGGAAAAGAAATCGTGCAAATATATTCAGATATAGATGGCAAGACCCCAAAGGTATATGACATAATTTTGCTTAATTGTTAGTTATGTTCTGATTTTATCTTATGCTTCATAACTTAATTCAATAAATGTTGCTGGTGATTTAATATGAATCCTTAAAAATGAAGTCTTTTTTGAAGTATACAGTAAAAATATTTACTTTTTAATAATTTTCAGGTAACAGTTAACAATCTTTTGCAGAGTCGAAAATGAAATGCTTTTCTCAAAAACGTAAATCTTAAATATCTCGTAAAGAAAAATGAAAGTGTTAATAAGCTCATTGTTATTTTCAAGTATATGAAATATCACAAGTGAAGAAACTTCTTCTTTATTAGCCATTGTGATGATACAGCCATTTAGTCTGACTAAATCTTTAAATCACTTATTTATGTATAATTCCTCAATTTATTTAAAATTTTGAAAAATTGATGTTCTAATACAACTTATTCAACAATTCTTATCACTGATACATTATGGCAAAAAAGTGTACCTATTCAGCATAAATCAGTAAAAAATGAGGAAACATCATTTTATTTTGTTGTCAAAATCAGGTTATCTTTGAATTAACTTGTAAGATTCTTTTAAAACAAAATCCGAAAAAGTTTAGTTTTTGAGAAATTGCCAGACTTTGGAGGAAACAGTTTGAAAATGGCAAATGCCTATTTTAGTTGCTACTAGAATAAATTTCAGGCTAAGAACTATATGCTAAGTGCCTGCTGATTGATTGATAAATTGATTGATAAAAGGATTTTATAGAAATCACCTATTTTTTCATATATTATTTGGTTAGGATTTTTCTTTAGTTGCAGTCATTTATATGCAGCTTAATGAGTTTGTAAATAAAAGTAGCTCATAACTCCATTCATATAACAAGAGAATGCATTCTAAACTACTTTGGTTAGATCCTATACATATGGTTGGCAGTCAGAAAATAAATGTTAACCAAATCATAACAAGTACTTCTGGAAAATGTTAATCCCAAAGATAATCATCACTCTGACTTTAATGACTTTCCTCCTTTTATTTATAATCTTACCTCCTTTTATGTTATGACTAATTTTTACTGTTTTTGAATTTTATGGAATCTATATAGTATGTCTTTCATATCTGACCTCTTTTGTTCAATTATGTAGAGTTCATTAATTTTCATTTTTGCAGTAGTATTACATTGTCTGACAGTGCCACAATTTATCCATCAACTGTTGAAATTTTGGTTACTTTAGTTTGAATTCCTTGCAAATTATGCTGCAGTGAATATAAAATGATATAATTCAGAACTCTGGAAAGCAACTTGGCAGTTTCTTTTAACTAAACTTACCATACAACCAAACAGTCATGCTTTTGCACACTTAGTTTACCAAGAAACTTGAACGTGAATGGTCATAGCAGTTTGATTTGTAGTAGCTGAAAACTGGGATCAACCAAAATTGTCTTCAGTAGCTGAATGGTTAAACAAGCTGTGGTACATCCATAACACAGAATACTCCTCAGCAGTAAGTAGGAACAAACTGTTGTTGTATACAGTGTCTTAACTTTGTGGCCTCAGATTTCTCATCTTCATTTGGGGACTAGGCTTTCTTTCTCGACTTCTGCATTCTGTGTTGCTATTTTAATGGAATTTAAAAGTCATGAGAAAGTGCCAGTTGTCCTATATTTTGCTGGCTGCCTGTTGGTCACTTGTCTGTCTGTCTGGATTTCTGTTTCACTTCATTTTTAGTCTCTGAGAATTTCCCTGAAATGTTTTGCCATGTTAGAAAAACACTTTAAATTTGTTTTTTTTTCCTCAGTACGAGAATTTTTCTTAATTTTTAGTCAGTAATAGTACTTTAAATAGAAGTCAAGTTCTTTTTAATTTTAGGTCCAGTGAATTTGATAGCCAATTTGATGACTAATATGGTAATTCAATTGGTAACTGTATTTAGATTTATTTACAGTGATCAGTATGTATCTGACACCTAAATACTAATTAAATCTGAAAAAAAAATGAAACATTTAAAAAATATATCTTATATGCTAGTGATGGTGGTGGGCTTAGGGAGGATCACCTCAGTGAGAAAGTCAGCGTTCCCCAGTTAAGCCCAGTGCACTGCCATGGCTGACTCCTTGGAGAGTTGGAAGTCTCTACTTGAGATGTATGATCCTTGACCTGTACCTATTGGTTTTTGAGATGTGTTGTTGAATCCAGTTTGCTAGGATCTTGTTGAGAATTTTAGCATCTATGTTCATCAAGGATATTGACCTGTAGTTCTCTTTCTTTGTTGGAGCTTTACCTGGCTTGGGTATCAATGAGATGTTAGCTTCATAAAATGATTTGGGGAGAGTTCCATCTTTCTCGATTGCCTGGAATACTCTCAATAGGGTTGGTATCAGCTCCTCCTAGTTTGTTTTGTGGAATTCTACTGGAAAGCCATCTGGTCCAGGGCTTTTTTTTTTTTTTGTAGGTAGTTTTCTTATGACACAGTCAATTTCCTGTGTTGTTATTGGTCTATTTAGGGTCTCAATTTCTTCTTATTTCACCCGGGGAGGTCATGTAATGTCAGAAAGTCCTCCATTTCCTTTAGGTTTTCAAGCTTGTTTCCATACAGGTATACATAGTAATCTCTGATAATCTTTTGCATTTCTTTGGGGTCTGTTGTGACTTCATCTTTTACATTTCTTATTGTGTTTATTTGGGCTTTTTCTCTCTTTTTCTTGGTCAGTCTAGCTAGGGGTCCATCAATCTTGTTTATCCTTTCAAAGAACCAACTTTTTGTTTCATGATTTTTTTTGTGTATCTTTTTGTCTTCTGTGTCCCTGACTTGGGCTTTTTATTTTGGTGACCTGGATTCTTCTGTTGAAGTTAGGGTTTTGGTGGTCTTGCTTTTCCAGCTTCCTTAGGTGACTTGTTAGACTGTTAACTTGTGATCTTTCCATTTTCTTCATGTCTGTCTGTAGCAATATGAATTCCCCTCTTACTACTGTTTTCATGGCATCCCAGAGGTTTTGGTAAGATGTTTTTTCATTTTCATTTGTTTCCAGGTATCTTGTAATCTCTGTGTTGATTTCCATGTTGACCCAGGAGTTGCTTCGCATCATGCTGTTTAGTGTCCATGTCTTTGTGGGTTTGGGGGGAAATTTGTTGGTGTTGATGTTTATTTTTTATTGGTCTGAGAAGGCGCATGGCAGAATTTTAATCTTAAGGAATTTGTTTAAGCTTGATTTATGGCCAAGGATGTGGTTAGTCTTAGAGTATGTTCCATGTGGTGATGAGTAGAATGTATATTCTGTGGTCGTTGGGTGGAGTGTTCTGTAGGTATCAATTAATTCTATTTGTCAGGAGTCACATTGAGGTTCTGGATCTCCTTGCTGATTTTTTGTCTTGATGATCTGTCTAGGGTTGTGAGTGGGGTATTAAAGTCCCCAGATATGATAATGTTAGAGTCAATATCTTTTTTAAGTTTGCCTAGAAGCTGTTTTATGAAAGTTGATGCTCCTAAGTTGGGTGCATATATGTTTAGAATGGATATCTCTTGTTGATGGATTGAACTTTTTATCATTATATAGTGACCTTCTGTATCTTTTTAAATTTTGAGCTTAAAGGGTATTTTGTCTAATATTAAGATTGCAACTCCTGCTTTCTTTTTTGTTCCGTTTGCCTGAAATTTTGCTTCTCATCATCTCACTTTAAGTCTGTGAGTATCCTTCCTGATGAGATGATTCTCTTGGAGACAATATATTGTTGCCTCATGATATTTTATCCATTTTGCCATTGTATGTCTTTTTAATGGTACATTTAGTTCATTCACATTCAGGCTAATTATTGAAATGTGAGAGTTTCTCCCTGTAATGAGGTTTTATAGAGTTGTTGTGCCTGTTTGTTTGTTGCCTTTCTTTTGATTTTTGGGTTGATTCATGTGTGTTTTCAATCTTTTTCCGGCACTCTTGTGAAGAATGTTGTTGTTCTTTTTTCCCTTTCTTCTGTGTTTAATACTTTCTTAAGTGTTTCTTGTAGAGCTTGTCTGGGGACAGTGTATGTTCTTAGGGATTGATTGTCTGGGAAATATTTTAATTTTCCCTCACTGATAGAGCTTAGCTTAGCTGGTTGAAATTGTTTATTTGGTTGAAATTGTTTATCTTTGAGAACTTTGAAGATGGGCTCCAAGATCTCCTAGCCTGAAGTGTTTCTATAGATAAATCTGCTGCTCTTCTAATTGGTCTTCCCTGGTAGGTAGTTTGACCTTTCTCTCTTGCTGCCTTTAGGATTTTTTCTTTTATACCTACTTTGTTTAGGCGAATTACTATGTGTCTAGGAGTTGGTCTTCTCATTTGTTGTCTTGCAGGGGTTCTCTGATTCTCTTGTGTTTGAATGGTCACACCACTGATGAGATGAGGGAAGTTTTCTTGAATAATTTCATGGAATATTTGTTCCAAAGTGATCTCTGTCTCTCTTTCTTCTGCCTCAGGAAGCCCAATTACTCTTAGGTTCAGCCTCTTGAAATAATTGCTCATCTCTTGACGGTTTTGTTCGGTCCTTTAAAGCTTATTTTCTATGTTTTTGTCAGTTTGGGTTAGTTCTATATTTTGGTCCTCAGGCTCTGAGATTCTTTTTTCTGTTTGGTTAATTCTGCTTTCCATGCTTATCAGTTTGTTATTTATTTCATTCACAGTATCCTTTACTGCTGTTATCTCAGTTATCAACTCCTTCATATTTTCCTCTTGTCTCTCCTCAATTCTATTCTATTCTATTAATGTCTTGATATTTGGGTGTGTAGTTTTAGAACAGTCGTTCTGGGGACTCTTCATTGTTTGCATTCTGAGGTCTGTTTTCTCAGTGTCTAACCTCCCAGGGGTCTATGTGAGACCCATATTCTTCTTTTGGTTTTTCATCATTTGTGTAGATTTTCGTCCCCCCTCCCTTTCTTTTTTCCTCTTCTTTAATTCTGTTGTTCATGGATGGTGGGGTTGCTTTTACTTCTGTTTGCTCAATCTCCTATTCTTCCTTATGTGGATACTCTGACTTTGTTCAATTCTGAAGCTGGACTGTGGGTTGGGTGCTGCACTTTTTGCAGTTTTGAGATTTAATTGAATGGGGAACTGTGATTCAAAATCTATCTTCAGATCCCAGTATCCACCGATAGGTGTTTGGGCACCGTGGAACCCACTTACCACTGCCTTACAATATGTCCATGCTGTAGGGGTATAGATTTGCTCCCTGAAAGCAAAATGAGGTAAGACAAAGGAAAAGAATGAAAAAGGAATAAGGGAGGGCACGACTAAGGTGAAGAGAGAGAAGAGTGAGTGGGAAAACAGACAGATGTACCAACTAACAAATGAAAAGAGACATAAAGACAGAAAAGAGTAATAAAACCTAAAACATACAGATAATCTTGCAAACACACAAACCAACAAAAACCTCCCTATTGATGTACTCTTCCCATATGCAAACAGGAAGCCTGAAAAAAAAATCAGTAAAATAACAGAAACAAAGCAAGTACAAAAACATTATCAAAAACAGAAAGAGAGAAAAAAAACTAAAACCAAAAATAAATAAAAATGAGCAAAACAAACAGACAAAAACTAAAAGTAAAAAAAAAATAAAAACAAGGAACCAAAATTGCTTTGAGTTCGTTCCTATAAGTTCATTGTACTTTCAGCTCTGATCTCTAGCTCTCAGCGCATACTGATAGAGTAGCTCACAACTAGGGTCAGATGCCTCCAGCCTACTGTGGAAGGAGGGTGGATCAGATCTGGATTTACCTGGCTTGCTGCCTGTCAAGTCAGTCACCGAGATCTGACCTGTCTGTGTCTGATCCAGCATGGTGGAGGGGCTTCTGTCTCTCCCCATTTGATGAGATTACCTTAGGTCCTAAGGTAATTCTGCTGGGCAGAACTGGGTGGGGCAATGCAGGTCTCTGCCTGGTCCTGGGACAGAGAGAATGGCTGCCATCAGTGTTGTTTCACTGAGCTTGGGGCTCCCCTCTGGCTCTTCCCAATCTTCTCTCTCCACTGATGGGATCCAGGGCTCCAGCTGATTTACTATAATAGGTGATGTGTGGGTCAGGCGCCAGGCAATAAGAATCAGCTGAATTCAGCAGATTCTTCTCAGGAGAGTCCTGCCAACAACAGATGATCTTGTGTGCCCGTGGCTCAAATCTTAGGGCAGTGGGGGCTTGCAGTCACCTTCAGATGGAGCTTTCTCGGTACGTGAACCTGAGTCTCCCCTCAGACGGACTTTCGCTCTCCCACCAGCACACCCCTACTGACACAGAGTCTTTATGGACACTTGCTTTTGCAGAGACTCTCACAGTCTTGTTGGGAGCCGGCCAAGGAGGCCCACGTGAGCATTAGGGATCCAGGTGGGCTGCGGACCCTGAGACCACTAGGATGAGTTCAGGAGCTGATGGCCCATTCCCTCTTCCTTTCTTTGTTGTTTGGCATGTCCCACTAGCAGGGACTTTGATGATCTAAGCATGAAGCTCTGAGAGTACCACAAACATGGCTTACTTTAGGAGTCCTTTGTTCCCGTTTCTCACAGACTGTGGTTTCGGCTTTAAACTTAACATAATTCAAACTCAGGTCACATTTAGGAGCCTTTAATATGGTACAAGTTTCTTTATAAGATTTAAAAGTATATTTGTAGAATTAGTATATACGTATAAAGTGCTATTTCAACTTTAATAATATAGATAATTATCTAGAGTTACTAGAAATGCCCCAGCACGAACTTTGGACTGGGCCACATTCCTAAGGGCCCAGCATGATCTTTTGACTGGGCCACATTCTTTAGGAACTGGTTTGGGCTATAGTTGAGAGTTTCTATAGTGTAGGTAGAATTAGCGTAAAATAGAGAGGAATTGGGATTTAGGTTGGTCATTAGGTGTTGTGTATGCATAAGTTTTAAAAGTTATTGATTTTTAGAATATTATGATATTAAGAATTGTTGTATTGCTTTTGAGGAATATTAACCAAGCGTGAGGAACAGTGAGATAGTTTTGGGATCCTCCTTCCTCATGCTTGGGGAAACACCTGGTAGGTCGGGGATGCCCCTCATCCACCAGGCTCTATGTTCATGTAAATGTCTTGTGATTTAATTGGGATTGTCCTTCCTCATACTCGAGGAAACACCTGGTGGGTGAGGGATGCCCCTCATTCACCTGGCTTTGTGTTCATGTAAAAGTTTTGTGATTTAATTGGGATTGTTCTTCCTCATGCCTGAGGAAACACCTGGTGGGCAGGGGACGCCCCTCCTGAACTTGGCTTTGTGTTCACGTGAAAGACTTGTGAGACTGTCTGTGTAAAATTTGGGGATAAATACCCGCTGTAACTTCAAATAAATGGCTTCTGCTCAAGTCATTGAACAGTTGTCCATTTTCTTTCTTTCTCTTTCCTTCTTTTAATATCTATCCTACAGAATCGGCTTCTGCACTAGACAGAGTCCAGTTTCTTTCTTTCTCCCCCTCCCTCTCTCTTTCTCTTTATTTCTCCAGAATAATCGCCGATGCCACAACACCTCCCCAGGGACCCCTAAATCTCTCTGCTGGGGCTGGCCCCCTGCACAGTCTGACCTATCCGGTCTCCATCTTGTCCCTAATTCTCTATACCTAGTTTAAACTTCTACTCCTTTTGTATCTGTATCTTCTGCCTATTAGTTAAAATTTAGTGTATATTTTAAGTTCATTTGCAAGTTCTTGGCATAAATTACACAATTTTATTCTCTAAACATTTTAAAACTTTGCATAAATTTTGTTTGTTTGTTTTGTTTTTAAGGAGACAGGGTCTCACTTTGTCACCCAGGCCAGAGTGCAGTGGTGTGATCATGGTTCATTATAAGCTTGAGCTCTTGGGTTCAAGCAATCCTACTTCCTCAGTTTCCAGAATAGCTAGAACCACAGGTGTGCACCCCTATGCTCAGCTAATTTTTTTTTTTCAATAGAGAGGAGATCATGCTATTTTGCCCAGACTGGTCTTGAACTCCTGGTCTCAAGCAGTCCTCCCCTACTGCAGCCTCCCATAGTGTTTGTAATATAATTGTGAGCCACCACACCCAGAATAAATGTATTTTTATATAAAGTGATATTATGTATAAAGTGATATTATCATTGCTACACTTGATGTTGTTATTGAATAATAATCCAATCTATGATATATTTAAATTTTTAGTATTTTCATTTCAAGAATACCAAAAAGCCAACTTTCCAAAAGAAGAATGGTAATATGCAAAAAAGTTCAAATACAACAGTTCCTATCAGAGGTAAGAATGCATAGTAAACTAACAATATGCATTTTTAAATCTAATCTGATTTTTTAAATATTGTGAGCAATATTATTTTTATATAGCCAACAGAGAAAGGTACACAACTATAAGTGCCCAGAAATCAAGTAGCAATATTATTTTACTGCGAGAACGGATTATATCTTTGCAACAACAGAACAGTATTCTTCAGAATGCCAAAAAAACAGCAGAATTGTCTGCTAAGGAATATAAAGAAGTTAATGAAAAGCTCCTCCATCAACAGCAAGCATCTGAGCAACAATTCCAGACAAGCAGAAAGACAATAAAGGTAAAGAGAATTTTAAAGTTGAATCACAACATACTATATGCAAAAGTGGATATTTTGTTTTACATGTGTTATTTACATCATATGTGTGTTAGACATTTCCATGAGTTAGAAAATATGGCAGGCACTGTTGAATAATGTAGTTTGTTTAATTTTTAGACTTATTTAATGACGTTCTTATTAAAGGACGATGTATATGAAAGAGAGAACTCCAAATAAAAAAGACAGACACTTCACTAGCATTCCTATTCTACTAGTTTTTCCCTTATTTTTAATATTTTTATGTGTTGTGTATTTTATTGTTTTTAAAGGGGGGCTTTATAAATGCATTTATCTACCCAGTTTAATCTGAGTTTTTGTTTTGTTTTGCATTTTGCCTACTCTAAAGGTATGTATTTATAATGTATAGATAGTGTTTTAAAACTGAGAGCTAAGTGATACACTAGATAAATGGCAAAAGTTTGTGATTCCCAAAAGCAGGCACTATCATCATTACTGTAAAGCATCTAAACCTACTGTGAAATGCACTATAGCCCTATACTAAGCATTATTCTATAGATTGGATATATAAATAGGCTTATATCAACTATTTTCATGAGAAAATAACTATAAATGTTTTACATTTCTTCTATATTCCATATCATTACTAGAGTTGTGAAGACATAAGTAAAAAATATGCTAACCCTGTTCTTTGAAGCCCCCTTTCAATATGAAGAAAATGTTACACAATACAATGTTTGTAGATTTATTTGTTTGTTTCTCAACTCACATACTGTTTAATTTAGACAAGAGTAGGAAAAGAATAATATTTTGATAGAGTAGGCATTCAAATGTGAAACATTAACTTTTTTCTCTACAAAATATTTCAGTAGAAAGTGAAGAGATACAGAAAAATATAAAGCACAGATAGTAACTAAAACAGCATAGAACTGGTACAAGAATAGACACATAGACCAATGGAACAGAATAAAGAACCCAGAAAGAACACCACATTCCTACAACCAACTGATCTTCGACAAAACCAACAAAAGTAAACAATGGAAAAAAGACACCCTATTCAATAAATGGTGCTGGAAAAATTGGCTAGCCTTATGCAGAGGAATGAAACTGGACCCCTATTTCTCACCATATACAAAAGTAAAACTCTTTTAACTTTGGGGAGAAAAAAGAAAAGTATAAAGCATATATACGAAATATTACATATATATAACGTTTTTAACTTTTGATTGATTTCTTACAGAGGCCAGATTCAGATAAATATTTCTTCTTCTACCATATAAATTCTTATTTCCCCAGAGAATACCAGATAGCAATATACTGAGCACACTTTGCCATATCTGCTGTCTTCTGTGATGCTGTTCTGACTTTTCACCTTCCATTAATATCCATTTAAGCAAGTTCCTGAGTCTTGTGTGGAATACTTCCTACAGAAGATTTTCTTCCCCTAACCCAAAGGCTAACCTGCAAAAAGGACTTCCAAACCAAACATGACAAATAACGGCACATAAATACATCTTTTTTTATAAAACATCTTTCTTTCTCAAACATATAGATTTTCTCCAAATCAATATGAAATTCTTCAACTTTTTTCTCTTTATTTTATTTTTTATATATTTTATTTTAAAGATGTGAGATACAATTCAGGATTAGGTATACAAGTGAACATCGTACAGGTAGATATACAAGTATTGTAATATTTGGTCTAGACAATATCCACTAAAGTGCAAAGCTTCTTAGTTTCGTTAAATTTGTGCCTCCTCCAGGTCCATGTTTTTTCTGAAATCAGTTTTGGCTTAGATGGACAATTTCTAACTCACAGAGTCCCTATTCATGATTATTCACTTGTAACATATTACATATTGTTTATAATTTTACAATCATCCCAATGTCATTCTTTGAGTACATTTGCCATATTAAATTCTTTACATGTGTTAAAAAAAAAAAAGAAAGAAATACCTGTAGTGCCACTCGTCCCTCCTAAGTGAAAAACTATTACCATTTTGGCATATATACTTCTAGTGTGTATTTCAAATATATAAAATATGGTAAGTAAAGATAATTTTTTTAAACTACCACCTGTAGCCCCATTTTTCTTCCCCTCTTCTCTGGAGGCACTTTCATGAGTTCCTACTTTCTGTCTAGTGGTTTTATTAATTGTTGAGTAGAATATTGAAATCTCCCACTATTTTTTTTTTTGTAATAGCTTTATTGATAAATAACTTCTGTATCCTGTAAGTCTCTCATTTTAGGTGTTTAATTCCATCTTTGTTAACTATATTCACAAAGTTGTGCAACCGTCACCAAAATCAGCTGTAGAATACTTTATTGTCTCAAAATGAAGCTCTGTACCCTCTAGCTATCCTCCATTACCCCATGCTCCTTGCTGAAGGAAACCACTAATCTATATTCTATCTCTGTAGACTTATCTATTCTGTGCATTTCATATAAATGAAATAATATACTATGTAGAATTTTATATCTGGCTTCTTTCACTCACCCTAATGTTTTCAAGTTTTTTTCATGATGTAGCATGTGTCAGTATTAATGTGAAGACTGAAAATTTGCCCTTCTGTAAAGTCAGTGAAAAATCTGGCAAAAATGGCCAGGAATCAATATTTTCATACCACTGGTTTTAGAGCCTAATCTTCTAAGAATTAATATAAATCCCAGAGCTATTAATTGATGGCTCAAGGAAGTCACAAGTTTTCTTTTTCTGTATTTATTTTTATTTTAAAGATGTGGGGTAAAGTTCAGGGAGAGATATGCAAATGGTCATTATGTAGGTAAAGTTTGGGCCTCACTTTGGTTTCCACTTCACCTGGTTTGAGATCAGGCACCCTTATTGATGAGGTGTGTCGCCCCTCCCTCCCCTGGCAGTTTTCCACTACTGCCACTCCCTTTCTTATAATATTACGATAATTGTTCAGGGTCCACTTATGAGTGAGAACATGTGGTACTCAATTCTTTGTTTCTGTGATAGGTCACTCAGTATGCTAGACTCTAAGTTCATTCAAGTTGCTGCAAAGTTCATAGTTTTGTCCTTTCTGGCTGTGTAATATTCCATCATGTCTATGTACTGCATTTTTTTTTTAATCCAGTCCTCTTTTGATGGGCAGCACAGTTGGTTCCATGTTTTTGCTATTGTGAACAAAGCTGCAATAAATGTGCGTATGCAGTTTTTTTTTTCATAGAATGATGTGAATTCCTCTGAGTATTTCCAGAAGGGGGATTGCTAGGTCATATGGAAGGTCAATTTTTAGATCTTTTAGGAATTACCACACTGTTTTCCACAGAGGTTGTACTAGTTCACACTCCCACCAACAGTGTAGAAGTGTTCCCTTTTCCCCTCATCCTCTCCAGCATCTGTGGTTTTCTGAGTTATTGATGATTGCCATCCTAACTGGAGATAGGTGGTGTCTCAGTGTGGTTTTAATTTGCATTTCTTTGATGACTTGTGAGGCTGAGCATTTTTTCATGTATCTGTTGGCTGCTGGTATGTCTTCTTTTGAGAAGTATCTATTCATGTCTTTTGCCCACTTAATAATAGGGCTGTTTGTTTTTTTCTTTTCGACACATTTGAGTTCCTTGTAGACCCTGGATGTTAGGCCTTTGTCAGATACACAGTTGGCAAATATTTTTTTCCCATGCTGTGGGCTGTGGCTGTCTCCCTACTCTCTTGATGATTTCTTTTGCTTTGCAGAGGCTTTTCAGTTTGATGAGGTCTCACTTGTCTAATCTCTTATAACATGGGCATTTGCTGTTTTGATCAGGAATTGGTTGCTAGTTCCAATTCCCATAAGGGTGTTGCCTGCATTTTCTAAGGTTATTATAGTTTGAAGTTTAACGTTTAGGTCTTTGATCCATTTAGAGTTGTTTTTGTGTATTCTGATAGGTAGGGGTCTTGTTTTAATCTTATACATGTGGTCAGCCAGTTTTCCTAGCTAGCACCATTTACTGAGTAAGTTCACCTCTTCCCAGTGGTTATTAGTGGAGGCTTCGTTGAAGATGAGTTGGTTGAGAAATTGATGTTTTGCTTCTGGAATCTCTATCCTGTTACATTGGTCTACACTCCTGTTCTTGTACCAATACCAGACTGTTTTGATTATTGTAGCTTTGTAATAAAGTTTAAAGTCTGGAAATGTGATACCTCCAGCTTTGTTTCTTTTGCTGAGGATTGTTTTGGCTATCCATGGTCATTTATGTTTCCATATGAATTTCTGTACTGTCATTTCCAGATCTGAGAAGAATGATGCTGGTAATTTAATGGATATTGTGTTAAATCTGTAGATTGCCTTAAGTGGGATGGACATCTCAACAATGTTGATTCTTCCAATCCATGAGCATGGAATATTTTTCCATTTGTTTGTGTCATCTTTGATTTCTTTGAACAGTGTTTTATAGTTTTCGTTGTAAAGGTCTTTGACTTCTGTAGTTAAAAAGATGCCAAGGTATTTCATTCTTTTGTGTATGTGTGTGGGTATTGTGAATGGGATTGTGCTGTTTGTTTATTGTTGCTGTATTGGAATGCTACTGTCCTTTGCAAGGTTATTTTATACCCAGAGACTTTGCCAAAGTTCTTTATCAGTGCAAGAAGGTTTTTGACAGATTCTCTTGGGTTTTCAAGATATAGCATCATGTCGTCTACAAAGAGGGATAACTTAACTTCTTCTTTTCCTATTTGAATATCTCTGATTTCCTTCTCTTGTTTGATTGCTCTAGCTAGGACTTCCAACACTATGTTGAACAGGAGGGGTGAGAGTGGGCAGCCTTGTCTTGTCTGGTTTTCAGGGGAAATTGTTCCAGTGTCTGTCTATTTAGCACTATGATGGCTGTGGGTTTATCATAGATAGCTCTTACTATTTTGAGGTATGCTCCCTCTATGCCTAAGTGTTCAAGAGTTTTTATCAAGAAAGGATGCTGGGTTTTATCGAAGGCTTTTTCCATATCTAATGATATAATTATGTGGTTCTTGTTTTTAGATCTGTTAATGTATTGAATTATGT